GCTGGCTGAGGAATTCTGGGAGTTGAAGTCCACAAGTCTTAAAGTTGCCAAGGTTGGACACCACTGGACTAGACAGTCTACAACAGCAAACATTAAACAGCATGGCTCTTTCTTGGATTGCATCCAGCTAGGCTGCAACTTATGTTATTTGAATGAATTGTTACAAATTCAATATACTGATATTGCTGCAACTGTCAATTATTACTTAGTGTCTTGCCTATATTAGACATGAGTATAAGCCTCTCTTATTAATTTTGACAGCAGTGCTTTAAGAACTTCAAGGTCAAAAAATAATTATTGGTTGAACTGCACTGATTAGAAATCCATGTTGCTGAAAGGAATGACTGGAAGTTTCATCGCTTTCATGAAGTTCTGCCACATAAGAGCCTTCACAGAGGAAATAACGCTAATGCTCAATCTGTCAATCTCCATGGTATCTTGCACGTACATGCCCGTGGGCACACACACACATGCTGTAAAATACATTTGACTAGCTTGAATGTGCAAGAAACCTTTGGTATGTTGCACCCATTCCCAGGGCTTGAGACACTAAGTAGGTGTGCAGGTTGTCTTTGACTTGCCATAGTTCATTTAGTGACCGTTCAAAGTTACAATGGCACTTTAAAAAAAGCGACTTATGACCATTTTTCACGTTTATGAATGTTGCAGCATCCCCATGGTCACATGATCAAAATTCAGATGCTTGGCAACTGACTCGTATTTATGGCAGTCCCAGTGTCCCCAGGAGCCATGTGATCAAATGTTGCCATCTTCTGATAAGCCAAATCTATGAGGAAGCCGGATTCACTTAATAACCGGGTTACTAACTTATCAACTGCAGTGGTTCACTTAACAACTGTGGGAAGAAAGGTCATAAAAGGTGACAAAATTCACTTAACGAACGTCTCACTTGTCAACAGAAATTTGGGGTTAAATTGTGGCTTTAAGTCAGGACTACCTGTGTTGTTCTACCTATGGATAGGCAGGTATAATTTCTTGGCATCTTCCAGTTTTATATAGATTATTTTCTACACCTATTAAAGTTTAAAAGAATGGTTTTTAGTATTGCAGTCTGAATTTTCTTTCAGGGACTTTTTCTTCAAGGAGTTTTGAGTTCTGTATTAATCATAATGATCAAGCTTACTATTAACCACATATTAATACTCTTTGAGTCAGGTTAGTCTTGTGAGATTTTATACAAGAAAGCCATAGTATCAACGTTTCAAATACACAGTAATTGTTTCAGATACCAAGGAATCTTTGAATATAAGAATGGGATACATCTCATACATTCTGAAGTTATTCATATAAATCAACCTCTAATGTTGATTTAGACAGGTGTCTTTATCATAGCCAGTAAAAAGAAATTTGCTGAAACCCAAATGAATGTGAGGGGATTTCTTATGTTCTAACTACTGATGGTTTTTCTTTTGCTTATAGAAATATACGTGAATATCTGACAATGGGCTAAATTCATCAAAAGTCCAAAAGTTGCATCACATATTATAAAATAATGGAGTGTTTCTCCATCCACTTTCCTCTCACTTTTTTCACTTCAGACATTGACATCTTGCATGACTAATATTGTTTGGCATGTTACAAACTTTTGGAAGGCTCAGAAATCAAGAAGCACACTCTGCACCCCCACTCTTGCTTCAACAGATGGGAAGTTATGAGCTCACCCAACAGCTTTTAAATATGTATTCTGAACATTTTTTTTCTTCCTTCCAAATTTTTTTTTGATAAATACCACCCACTGCATCATGAGTTCAGGAAGTTAATTGGGTACAGGAGACTGAAAAGCTTCAGGTTATAAGTTCTAGAAAGTTTACAATTCTCTGGCAATTTACAGAGCCATCTGAGCCAAGAATGAAATATCAGACATGCACATTCTTTGGCAAGATATGGTTTTGCCCAAATAATTCAGCCACTAAGCGCAACTCATCCCCTAGCTAGACTATATTTGCAAAACAGCTCAATTAGCTCCCATTTGCCCCCCATCATTATATATACCTGCCTACTGGAGATACAATGGAAGCTAGTGAAGATACATTGGTATCTCCCAATCTTGTTACTTATAAGGAGACCATGGGCTTCCAGGTAGCTTTGTTTAAAGATGAAGGCAGTTTTTTGTAAAAGAAAATGGTGTGATATGTAACCATATCTCCTGACTGAAAATTCTCATTTTCTCTTAGAGTTGTGTGTTTTCCACATTCACTGTAGCTATTTTGTAGTGAAATAAGTAAAATAAGACCTCATTCCATTCATGAGAATGTTATTGAAATGCTTTTCTTTGAAATACATTTCAAAATAGTTTTTTTCTTTCATTAAATGACAACAAATAATAAAATTGCAAGATCATTTTTTTCTGCGCAGCTTTCTGTTATACAGCTGGAATTTTATTGTTTTGCATTAGTTCAGCAAAAAGTATAAATATTCTTGTAACTTTAAAATTCTGGGTCTTTGAGAGACAACATAACATATATAATATAACAAGGGAAGCTTTTGCTTGTGTTATTTTAGAAATAATGGGTATAACTTGTAGCTACCTAGATTTTATTTAGGGAAAAATTATAATGGTTAAGATCTGTACAACAGCGAAACAGTCTGCCTATGGAGATTGTGGCTTCTCCATCTCTGAAGATTTTCAAGAAGAAACTGGGCTGCTATTTCTCAGAAATGGTCTAGTGGGTTTTCCTGCAGGAAGTTGGGCTAGATGGTCCTTGTGATCCTTCCCAAGTCCACATTCTATGATCCTATATAATCAATTGGAATAAACAGGTGAAACAAGGATACATTGTAAGAAGAGGTAATAAACTAATCTGTGATTAGTAAAATTCATAACATCTAGATCAAAATGGTGTCTTAATAAGAAGCATAATTTTTACTACCCATATTTTGTGTATATTTTGGATATCAACCATTCACCACCACCACAATATCACCCTTCTAGCCTTTCCTATCATTCTTTTATTTTTACCAGCTTCAGGGTGCAGTGAAGAAAGATTTTCAGGATTTTAGGTAATTAATTGATCAGTTCCAGGTTCAGCTTCTACACTCTTTAATCTAGATAAAACTAATACAGCCAAATGTACTAGTTGGGCTATAGGAGTTTCTTACCCTACTCCTTTCCAGAGGTCTAGTCATTTTGGCTGGAGATGAAACTATAATTCAATAAATGTTGAAGTGACTACATTGGGAAAAGACTGGGTAGGGGATGTGGGAGAATTGTATCTTCCTGTCTAAGCTTGCTCTGTGCGTATGTGTGATCTGTATGTATTATGCCATCTCATCTCTTGCCTGTGGATGGTTCCAATACAAAATAAAAGACAGACTAGACAGACTCAAAATGTCTAACAGAAATAGCAATACCTGCAATGAAATATTTGAAATGGCAATAAATGCAAATAAATATCTGAAATGGCAATAAATGCAATTAAGTATCTAACTGAAATGGCAATAAATGCCATTAAACAGTGATGCATAGATTTTGAGTAAATTATAATAAATAGATGTTCATTTATTATAGAGACAGAGAGAGCTGGCGGTAATGAGGGGAGAAAACTTAATAATAATAATTTAATAACCTAACAATAAACTTAAGTTATATTAAGTTATTGACCGCTAAAGTAAATTAAAATCTGATGGCATAACAGAAGCACTTGTAATATGTTGACAAAAATCTTCATCATTCCTTAGCAATATTGGTGGCAAGTTGATAATTCTCTAACATAAATTCTGAGAGAGAGAGAGCGTAAGGGAAGGAGGGAGATAGGAAGAAAGTTTTAATAGGTTACATTTCAGCTATTCAAAAGAAAAGAAAAAAATAAACAACATAGATGATGGAAAGAGACAGGGTAATAAAAACTTCATTATTCACTATAGGAGAAACTGTCTTCAGGCTAACGATGGGTGCTAAATTCAAAAGCTAAACCTAGAAGTCTTTGATATTAACAGATAGAGTTCTATGTGAAGATACAAATGTGACATTTAAATTGAGAACTAGATCTAAGAGGGGTCACAAACAATATCATTATGCCTTTGCCAAAACCAGGATAATTCAGAACTCTACCCTAGTGTTTGGCAACATAAAGGGGGAAAAAGAATGAAAGGAACAGTGAAGCGCCAAACACCATTATGAAATACAGTCAATGCTTTTTATAAAAAATGCTGTCCCTTCCTTACCAGCAGTTCATTCTTTTTATTCCCTCTTTTAATTCCCGCTGCCTGTATTCTGTAACGTTTTGGCTTTTTGAGCAGGCCACATGTTCTGCTGCACATTACCTGAAGGACATATGCATGAGCCTAATTGGGAGGAAGGCAAAGGAAAAGCAAATGGAGGATGTAGTTGAAGACTTGGGAGCAGACCCCTAATGGCTATTGATTTATTTAATACAATCTGGAACAGCCTCTCAAGGGCTCAGCTGGAATTTTTGTGTTAAGAAAATGA